CAATTTTTTTCTTCAAACGCAATGAACTTCTAGTGACTCAGGAAATTTGACCTTAGTCTTACCCATTCCTCTCCAATGTGTTTTCTCATCAACTTTTTCCTGGTATTTTTCTAAACGTTTGTATTTTGTATCACACAGCTATGTTACAATGCTGCCACCCACCCCATGTGTTCCTTATTAAGGGTTTAGAAAAATATTACTCTGTCTCATTAGAGATTTATTTGCCTGAAGCTCAAGGAAGCAAGGTGAATTGTTAGTGTAGGACCCACCTAGGTTTGCCTTGAATTAGAAGGTGGGCTTAAATTTAATGGCCGTTGGAATTACTATAATAGCCTCCATTTATTTAAATATGCATAGGGATTTGGTCTAGCGTGCAGATTTTGGGGGGTTTTTTTTGGTTGTTTTGTATGTATTGGGGCTGATGTGTGCTACGGTCGTTGTTGCTGCACAGGAGCAGTGGGAGTTTGAGCACAGGACTTATTTTTGTCTATTTATCCTCATCTTGTATGTGACTGTAACGGCACCCTGGGCATAAAAGGGGTTAAGGCCGTTTAGGAGATATTCCCTTTCCAGATACAAAGGCAGCTACCGAATACACCAATCCGTCGAACAGGAAAAACCATACGAAAGGTTTACACTCCAAACTGCCGAATAGGAAAAACCATACGAACGATTTACACTCAAAACAGCCGAACAGGATAAGCATCAGAGCATTACAGAGATAAACACTCCCACAGGCACATTGTAAACCCTCCTCTCTATCCTGGAGATAATTGGGAAGTAACTCAATTATCTCTGAGGATAGAGGCAAAACTCCATTTTACACATGGCAATAAAAATATATAACTTCTAAACTACCGAATGCAATACACACATTTAACATATCCCCAGATAGCTTAGATCTGAGCGCACATTATTACCGAATGGCGCTCAGATCACATGCATACAATTCAATCGCCATGGAGACTTTTACATAGTCTTTCGTTATACGAATGGGCTCCATGGGATAGCTATCTGAGGTAGCTTTGTTTGTCGGTTTAATCTCCCGAACGGCTCGGCATTCGTATGAATGAAGGAGGCAGGAGAAGGGAGTTCAGCGGTGTTCGTGAAGAATAGTGTCCGTTTCCAATTCCATAGAATTGTCGATGAACACCGCTGGGCATTCGACAGTTTAAGATGGCCGCCGCCACGTGTTTGGCTATACGAACGACGGCCACCCAGCGTTCGTCAATTAAGCTACGGTTAACCGCAGCTTCAGGGAGGTAAATTGCTGGCACACTCCCTACCAAGGTGGTCCGGTCATTCGTATGTTTGTTCGGTAAATTGAATTTACCAAACGCCCTGGTAGAAAGGCACGAACAAGCCTTTCTGTAGGGAGGAATAAAGGTTTTAACATGTGGGCCATAGTCCTGAGGCAGCAGGCGAGCAACCAGGCTTCTCCTGGACCCAGTGGCGAGGTTAGTTTCACCACATCTCTCCCCTTTCCCAAAAAGACTAACAAGGTACCTGACCTCCTGTCGGTCAGTGCCTTGGTTAGTCCAGCAACCCACCCACAAAACATAATCAGTAGTGGTTCCATCCATCCTGTAGCCAGGGTCGCTGTACTGAGACATGCGTTGCCCTCAATTTATAAATCCAGGAAATGGTGTTGCCTTGTAGCTGTCCTTCTGGGCTGTGGGAATCATACAGCCGCTTGCCACCAATTGTAACGGCACCCCGGGCATAAAAGTGGTTAAAGCGTTTAGGAGATATTCCCTTTCCAGATACAAAGGCAGCTACCGAATACATCAATCCGTCGAACAGGAAAAAACATACGAAAGGCTTACACACCAAACTGCCGAATAGGAAAAACCATACAAAAGATTTACACTCCAAATAGCCAGAGGATATCCCGGTCTGCACCTAAGAGGCATCCTTGCTTAGACATGGTCCAATTGCATTGCGGTTTGCTTAGGCCGATGGCACAGCAACCTACTCAGAGCCTTGCTTACAAGAATCACACATGTCCACACTAGACAGAATTTTCACCGACTTCTGGGTAAAACTGAACTGCCAACTGCACCCACCTGCCTTCCAGAAGCAAGCAACCAACCTCAGGAGGTGCCACTGAGCACTGTCCTCCCTTCAGTGACTCCAGCTTCAGGGCCAGCCTGAACACAGCAGCGCTGATTAACATGATCCACAGCAAAGAAGGCGGAGTACCATCCCTCACTGAATAGCAGCCCATGGGGGCCAAGCAATGGCGGCTCTAGACTTTGTGAGGCCTTAGGCGAAACTCAAACATGAGGCACCCAAAGTGGAAAAAAAAGGGGTTGCATTGTGTGTATAAGATGCTGTAGTTTTATTGAAGGACAAGCTTGGGGTGAATGTGCCATGTTTGGAGGAGGCAGTGTAACAGAATGAGGGGAGGTGAGTGTGACAATATTAATGTGGGGTTAATGTGTCAGGAATAGATTAATGTGGAAGGGTGAGTGTGGCAGGCTTGGGAGGAGAGTGTGACAGGGTGTGGGAGTTGTAGGACTGGAGTGGAGGGGCTTATGTTAGTGTGGCAGAGTGATGGGGGTGAGTGGGACAGACTGATAGAGGATGAGTGTGACAGGGTTGGGGACTGTGTGCGACAGTGCAAGAGAAGGTAAGTCTGACAGGATTTAGAGGGGTTAATGTGACAGGCTAATTGTGGTAAAGCAAGGGTAGGTGAGTTTGGTATGGTTGGAGGGGGTGAGAGACACAAGATTAGGAGGGTTTAATGTGAGTGTGGCTGGGTGAAGGGGGAGACAGTGTGTGGGGGCTAAAAGTGTTTGGGAATGGTGATTGTGTATGGGGTGACAATGTGTGCATGTGGGGTGGCTGTGACAGGGTGGGTGTGGGGGTTGTGAGAGGGTAAGGGGGCTGGAAGGGCTGTGACATGGTGTGGGGGCTTAAGGGGCTGTGACAGGATAGGGGGTGGAGTGGCTGTGACTGTGTAGGGGTGGGGGCAGTGAGAGAGAGGGGGATGAGAGATAGTGGGAGGAGCAGTGAGAGGGGAAGGGGATGGAGGGGCTGTGACAGGAGTAGGGGATGGAGGGGCTGTGACAGGGTGGAGGGCTGCAGGGTAGGAGGACAGTAACAGGGGGTAGTGGGGATGGAGGGGCAGTGACAGGGTGTAGGGGGGATGGAGAGACAGTAACAGTGGGAAGGAGGGGCAGTGACAGGGTGTAGGGGGGATGGAGAGACAGTAACAGTGGGAAGGAGGGGCAGTGACAGGGAGTGGAGGGATGGAGGGGCAGTAGTAACAGGGGGAAGGAGGGATGGAGGGGCAGTTACAGGGGGTAGTGGGGATGGATGGGCAGTGACAGGGGTAGGGGAATGGAGGACAGTAACAGGGAAGGAGGATGGAGGGGCAGTAGTACAGGGGGTGGGGTGAGGGGGCAGTAACAGGGTGGGGATGGAAGGGCAGTTGGGTGGAGAGATGGAGGGCAGAAGCGGGTGGGGGATGTAGAGCAGTGATAGGGGTGGGGACAGTGACAGGGTGGGGATGGAAGGGCAGTAACGGGGTGGAGATGGGGGCAGAAACTGGGTGGGGATGGAGAGGCAGTGATAGGTGGGGACAGTGACAGGGGTGGGGATGGAGGAGCAGTAACAGGGGTGAGGGGATGGAGGGCAGAAACGGGGTGGGGATGTAGAGGCAGTGATAGGGGTGGGGACAGTGACAGGGGTGGGGATGGAAGGGCAGTAACGGGGTGGAGATGGAGGGCAGAAACTGGGTGGGGATGGAGAGGCAGTGATAGGTGGGGGACAGTGACAGGGGTGGGGATGGAGGAGCAGTAACAGGGGTGAGGGGGATGGAGGGGCAGTAACAGTGTGTGGAGGATGGAAAGGCAGTGATAGGTGGTGGGGGACAGTGACAGGGGTGGGGGATGGAGGGGCAGTAACGGGTGGGGGGGATGGAGAGGCAGTGATAGGGGACAGTGGCGGGGGGGGAATGGAGGAACAGTAACAGGGGTTGGGTGACGAGAGGCAGTGATAGGGAGTGGGGGGATGGGGGGGCAGAAACAGGGGTGGGGGATGGAGGGGCAGTAACAGGGGTAGGGGATGGAGGAGCAGTAACAGGGAGTGGGGGGCAGTGACAGGGGGTGGGGGGATGGAGGAGCAGTAACAGGGTGTAGTAACGGGGTAGGGGGATGGAGGGGCAGTAACATGGAGTAGTGGGGGTGGAGACAGTAAGGGGGTGGAGGGGCATTGACAGTGCATAGGGGGGTAACAGGAGGTAGTGGGATGGTGGTCCTGTGGTCCGGCTGTCTGGTCTGCAGCTCCACCTGGAGTGAGCTGTATACCACGTATAGATCTCCCGTCAGAGCATTGCCGTGGCAACCCGCGGCAAGACTCTGACAGGTGGGAGATCGCGAGACACTTCCACCGGGAGTGAGCTGCAGACAGGAGGCTGGCTCTCTCCCGAGCAGACTAATTGGAGGGGCCACGCACCTGGTGGCATTATGGGCAAGCCGCCGGGCCCCCTCCTGTGTCGAGTCCGAGGACCCAACATGGTAGTCTGCCCTCAGGTGATTTAGATGGCTGCGAGGCCCCCCATCAGTGCGAGGCCTTAGGCGGCCGCCTAATTAGAGAGTCGCCTCTTGGGCCAAGATATGGGTTACCCTGGTGGGATAACCTCTGGGAGGACGCTGCAGTTATTAAACTTACCAGGCTGCTCGGGTCTGCCTTCGTTCCAGCACTCACTGGGGAGGCTGGAATGGAGGCACACCGGAGCAGCCTGGTAAGTTTGTGTGTGTATGTGTGTGTGTGTATATATATACACACACACACACACAGATACAAATCTCTGCCACACATACAGGTGTAGGGGCACACAAATACAAACACTGCCACATGCAGATAAACACACACTGATACAGACACTGCATCTGTGTATCTACATGTGTATCTGTATCAGTGTGTGTATCTGCATGTGTGAGAATGTTTGTTTGTATGTGTATCTGTACATCTGCATATGTGTCATTGTTTGTATCTGTATGTGTATCAGTGTGTATGTGCAACTGTATGTGTATCAGTGTTTGACACACATGCAGATACACAGATTCAAACACTGATACAAATACAGTTGCACATACACACTGATACACATACAGATACACATACAAACATTCTCATTTATGCAGATACAGACACACATATACAAACAGTAAAATACTGACACACATGCAGATAATATGCCATTACTGATTCATTTTCGGGTTCCCCAAGGGGCACAGGATTGTACACCTGGGGGTACGCATACCATGGTTTGGGAACCCTTGCTATACAGTGTAATATTATATATTTTTGTATTTTTTTGTTTTACAACATAAGGGGGACAGTCTGATCCCCAAAACCTTTTATAAAAGTAATATGTCTGTAAAGGGTAAAATAATACATTACAATCTAAATTAATGTAAATATATACATATATACAAGATTTTCTTGGCTTTCATGTTATCATTTACTTGAAACAGTCAAAGTATATCTAACATGTAAGCCATGTTTTGTTAAACAGTGAATTTATTCAGTTACAAAATAATAGCATTTACTTGAAACAGTCAAAGTATAACTATTATTTTATAACTGTCTCCAATATAACTCACTGTTTAACAAAAACACTAAACACAGAAAACAAGACAAGCTGAAAAAAAATTAAAACATTGTTTTGTTTCACGAGGTATTTGAAATTTATTTCGGAATGCAATCTGTAAAATATTTTTTCCCAAAGGGAAAACTTAACAGGACACAGACATTTACAAAATATTTTAGTTATAATGCACTGTACAGCAACAAACCACTGCACTGACCCTTCTCTGTTTCTTTCCACCAGAACTAAACATGGTCCTACCATTCGAAGTTTGAAGTCTAAAAACATGATCCAAGTAGAATAATAAAAAGGGAATTTGTCATTTTACAGACTGGAATAAAATATGGCAATACACATGGAATCAACATGTACAAGTTGACAAGTTGGTTACCCCTCTACAATTTTATTTGCGGTTTGCATCCTTCGTGTGATTTTATTGAGCTCTTAAATGAGATGAGAATAGACCTTGGAGAGCAACAAAGACAAAGGTCTACACCACAATTAACAGTGGCCTGGGTGACATGGTGATCGTAGAGAAACACAGTCTTTATAATATAGATACTTTGATTCCACTGGAGGCTTGAGTACCGAATACAGCTACTTGCTGCAAATGTGAACACTACTCAAAATATTGCACAGGGCAAACATTAAATAACAGACTAATCATACAAAAGAAGACCGTGATAATCTAAGGAATTTAAAGTGTACTATAAAGCTTACCTAGCATGGTTTCTTTTTTAATAATGCATATAACCCTTTCTTTGTCCCTGGTGTTTTGCTAAACTCTGGCATTGAAATTTACATATATTTGCTATTCTATATAAGAAACTGAGTTTATCTGCACACTAAACTTTCACTTATCCAGCAATTAAGAAAATCAAAACAAATTATTTCTGACTGTTTTGTGTGGGATCGCGCTGTGTTTTAAACTTTAAATGAGATGAAAGGAAGGGGATGAATGGAAGTCCTAATATCAGAATGCTTGCTTTAAATACATACTATGAGTACAAACAACAGCTGTGATCAAAGTAACACAAGGTATAATTCCACAAGCTAAAACAATATCATTTAAATAACGTATTTGTGGGCAGCAATCCTATCTGTTTTGCACATGTTAAAAGAAAATTACCAATCAAGCTAATCAATCACTTCAAAACTTTATAAGTTAAAACCTAGATATACTTTCTGGTTGTATGAAATGTTTTGAAAGCAATTGACTCTTATAGCACAGAAAATGAATCAAGAGACAGTATATACGGTATGAATCCATAACACGTGCAGCTGAATGAGCCACTGAGCACCTAAACTTCTTAAAAACATGTTTCTTTGAGAACAATACTTTCATTTTACAATGTATTGAAATGGTCAAATAAATAAATAGCTGTGTATGTTTTGTGAACACATACACTGCATGAAAATCCCTTGTTTGGTAAAATAAAAACTCATATAACCCTTAACATGGCAGACCGTACGTATATTGCCAAAATAGGCTCTAAATCAGGCTTTCCCAAACTCCGGCCCTCCAGATGTTGCTGAACTACAACTCCCATGGTTCTATGAATGAAATAGATAGGCTGAGAATCATGGGAGTTGTAGTTCAGCAGCATCTGGAGGGCCAGAGTTTGGAGAAGCCTGCTCTAAATGATGTCATACTACACAGGTCTCATGGTTAATTATCTCAAAGCAAAGAAAACCATACACATTCTATCTGCTTCCTTATATCTGTATAAAGATTAGGGTTATGTAAAAAGAACAAATCTGGTGCAGAATTCTAAAATTTAAGCAATCATCACTGAATTAATAGAATAGTCATGATGATCGATTAACTTGTAAATTATCCCTGAATCACTCTTTAAATGTAGCCCGAGACTGAGCGACACCTTGATATGTACTTAATAAGGAATTAAATCAGATTTCGTAGAATAGGTTTAAAAATAGTTTTGTATGTCTTATAACAAAGCAGTTTCAGTATGGTTACATAAAAATATTGCAGAATATTTTAATAGTGGCACAGACATTACTGATGTGTGAGAGATTTTTACATAGATATATTAGTGTAATGTGCTTTAGTCATCTATTTTGTGTGCAAGGAACATCCACCTTCATTCAAAACGCAATCATCATTAAAATTAGTCAGATACTATAGAAAATCTTGATGTCTAAAGCAAGCAATAAAAAAAACAAAAAATTGGGGATAAACATAAAAGAAAATGTCATTGCAGCTGGTTATCTATAGAAATGATGACAGAACGGTAAAGTCTAGGCAGCAAGGCTGTACAGATGTGATGAGATATTGCTGTAAAGTTAGTTTACGTATAAAGACATGTCCATGGAAAGCTTTGCGTATCAGTTAGGTGAGAAGCTGACGGATCTCTTTGTGGACACAACAAAGGAAATCCATGTATGACGCTCCTCCTAGGAGACCTTTGTCTTCTACGAGTAGCTGCCTAAAGGGCATTTCGGCCTTATCCTTCTGCTTCACTATGACGAGCTGCAAAAAAAGTGTATAGTAGCCAGTTAATCTCAAGCACAATCACATTTTTTAAATAATCATGACTTCAAGTTAAGTGCTTTAAAAGTGTTCAATATAATGATCTAACAATAACAAATTTCTAATTCTCCCTGAATTTCATTGACTGATGTGCTAAAAGTAAAAACATGGCACAAGTAAATTATAAAGCATTGTTTTAACAATTTGTGTGGATGATAAGCAGTGAATGTGTGACACTGAATATCAAACAGTTTCTTAAATAAGGCAGACAAAAAAAAAACCTCTATCTAGAATAGGTATACAAAAGATTACGGTGTCCCATCTTGCAATACTATGTACAGGGTAATACTAAGAATATTCCTGGATCATTTTTATGGAGATCTCACATTAGACTAGGGTTCTCCAAACTCTTGCCCTTCCGATGTTGCTGAAATACAACTCCCAAGACTCTTTGAATGATATAGATAGCTAAATAATCTTGAGGGCCAGAGTTTGGAGGTCCCTGCATTAGACTCATATGAGTAGGGGGATTCGTTGGGTTGTGTCTTTAGTAACATCAAAGTCAACCGGACACTTAAAAACTTCAGTGTCAAAAGTGTACATTGGAACAATTAGCTATAACCACAGCTTGACTATTTTAGCCTTAATTAAAAGTTAGCCATTCAGATTTCAATTCACTACAATGATGAGTTTTTAATGCACAGTGGTCACTATTACAAAGTGGTTACCATTACTATTTTGCATGACTGCATGCACAGACCACATTGCTTACCTTCATGGAGTGAGAACAATTCCTCTGGATGCTCTCAATAATTGACTTCAATTTCTTTGAATGAAGGCTGTCAACTGGAGGGAGTAATGTCTGCAATAAAACACGTTATGAATTATAACCTTTTATTATCATTTAAGGTATATATTTTAAACATCTGAAGATAATTACAGTTCACCTATACACAGAACGGGATATATTCTTCTGACACCTTTTAAATATCCTACATCTTAGCACTGGTAATAGGTGAATTTAGTTTATGGGTTATTTAAATGTGCTATTGAGATTAATTAGCACTTCAAAATTAGCCATTCCAACACCTAAAGAGAACGAGGACAGATATTGGATGAACTGACTAGTTGGAGAGTTTTGACATTGTCTTGTTGAGAATCTCTGAATATTGCATTCCAGACCATTTGATTGCCAATGGTCACGTGTTTTACTTTTATACATCCAAGTATGGCTAAAACAGCCCAAAACACAAATTATTACAGTGGTCCACATGGTGTCGGAGCCCACTGAATAGTGTAGAATGTAGACATTCCATCTGTAAATGATCATTTGAGTAAGAAATAAAAGAAATATCTCGTAATTGTGTAGCAGGATGAAGAAATAGAAACGAGCACTCAATAATGAAAATCTTCACATAAGTTTAACACAAATAAGTATAAACAACGCATCCTGTACAAATGACTTGTATTTGCTGAAATCACATATCACATTCACCTGAGATAAGTTAAAAGGGTTAGAAAGACAATCTTTTTTTAACTGTAAATAATTAAAAAAAAATGTTTTAATGAAAGAGCGAGTATTGATGTCATCATTTGCGTCTTCATATAGTTAACGGATTTGATTTCTAGTCCTCATTTTTCACAGTGATCAAAATTCTCATTACGTTATTATTCTATTGTGGCACCATTACTTCCAGGGCTATTTACAAAGGTGATAATTCAAAGTGAATTTCAGATTTAAGGTCAAAATAGTCAAACTGGAAAAATTATCGATGCCATCTAAACTTCCAGTTTGGCTACTTTTGCCTAAAAATTTTAATTCCCTTTGAATTCCCTTTAAATTCTAACTTTAGTGTTAGTCTTAATTGATTAATTTGTAACATACACCTTTCTCCATTTTATTTTAAAAATGATATTTATGTGTTTGTTCAAACACATTTATCAGCTCACGTAAAAGTTATATTTTAATGAATTAGGTTAAAAGGACTTCTTTCAAAATTAGGTATAATGCAAAATGTTTATTTTTTATTCTACT